TTAAAACGAATTAAAACCGTCATGTTTGCGCCTGCACAAAAATTGCATAAATTGTACCAAAATTCAATAATCGGAAAATCATAAGATAAAACTAATTAAATAGTTGTTTTTCAGGACCAACGGCAACGTCCTTGCCAGTGGCGTAGTCAAGGGCCTCTCTAAGGTGTGCGATCTCATCAATAGCCAAAATGAAACAATACGAACCACGAATGCTAATCCCGAATTTTGTATTTAAATCAGATGCAAGTTCCGGGCTGCATCTACGCCAAATTTATTTATCATTTTAATGGAAGCTATCAGAGATGAGAGAAGAGTCTGTTTAAAATTTATTTGTTACCTCAGCGGAACGTCTTGACCTCAAAATTTGTTGAATTATGGATCTTTGCTCATCACATATTCACATGGGCTATACGTAACGTAACGAAGACTGAGTCAAAATAAAACAACCACTCAATAATTATCGTTTATTTCGACCACACCACATGCAGGTTTTTGCAAAAATTACACATCTCCATTTGAAATATTATATCATACATATTAAGGATTATTAAAATAAGAAAAAAGCTTTTTATTTGATGCTTGCTAATATTGGGAATTCATACGAAGCAACTTTTGCGTCACGTCTAAAAATTGGAGGAACGGAAATACTGAAGGATCTTATTAAAATACAAAAGACATTCTTGGTCCAACATGTACGAATTTTATTTGCCAGTTTCTGAAGCCATGTGAGAAAATTCGCACATAAATTAATAAATAATTCTCCAAAACAGGTGATGTTTATCAATTTTTTATACCAAACCACTTGAAGGACGCAATTTTAATTTTGCGGTACAAAATGTGTAACAGTCGTGTATGTTTGTGCTTATTTTATAAACACACTTGATTAAGCTCCTCAAAACATCAAAACAAAAAACAAATTAGCTTGTAACCATATCTCAGCGTAACCCGATCCGTCCTTTTTGATTTTTCCCGTCTAAAACCATGGCAGAAAATTAACACCTTTTCGATGGTAACTCGATTCATAAAAAATGTCAAAAGTGTCAACTTGAACTTGATCCTTTTGCCAATTTTTTACGTAAAACTTTTGAAAATAAGAAGTTTTGTAATTTAATTTTGGCTAGTGTTCGCATCGCGTTGCTGGCTCTTGATTTGGGCCTTGACACTAAACTTCATCGTCTTAATACTGTTAATGTTCTAAATGATATTATTGTTCAATAGTTTATTACGTCTAGACTTCGCATTTATTTTTATCCATAGCTAAACGTTTTCAAGAAAATTAATCAAGCATGTACATATGTCTGGACTAAATTCCAGAAAAAAATCGGTGAAGATATTCACGTCGAAATTAGACGCGGTTTGTATTGTTGTTCTTACTATTGTCTCTAGTCAAGGACGGCCAAACTAAATTCGCCAATAATTGAATCAGGAAAAAATACAAATTTCGTGAATAATCTGAAGACCTGCAAGACCTTGAGTTAATGATTGTTTACATTTTAGCGTAAACAATTGCTGAAAATTGGTCTACCGGAAGTGCGTTTCGAGCAATTCTGATGATTAATTATGCAATACCGAACTTTTACAATTAATCACTTCATCCCACTGTCTACTTCCGGCCCTATTAGGAAGTGATATATCGTGGAGAAATTTGTTTAATTTTGTTGTTTCAAATATTTACTTTTCTTATCAAAATTTTGTCTGGCTCAGCAGGATTGTTAAAATGTCCAACAAACTATCATTTTTACAATCTCCTGCATTTCAATCTAGGCTCTCTACATATTTATTCTGGAAAATAGTGAGAACCTTGACACCATAATGCTGTACATAAATATTTAGAATGTAACAACACATTGTATAATTTCATTTTTTGTCTGGAAGACACTTTTATCAATCACACAGTGCCTCTATTGTACGTACCTGTGCTTAAACAAACTTTCTCTTATCAAATTAGGGTTATTTCTTTGTGTATCTAGTTTTTTTTTATTTACTGAGACAAACATTAATCTCAAGAAACTGGGGCAAAGCAGAGCTGATAAGTATTTTTATACAGCCTGGTCTACAAGTATAAATCATGTAGAAATCTCCTAAAATATATCATTTCTACATTGGCAGAATCATTGTTCAACAAATGTTAATTAACATGACTAGGATAGAAACATAACAATATGTCATCCTTACACGCAGATACGTATAAGTGCATGATCTATCCTTATGAGTTTAAAACAGGTCTTTATACCCAGACGGCCATGTAGTTTATTCGTCTGTGGGGGAATTCTCCAACACTTTGAATGAATTGACTAAAAACAAAGTCCCTAGGTATTGCGCCAATACTCGAGCAATAAAAATAAATCCTGGATTTTATTGACCATTTATTCATATTTATTGTTGATATTTCGTATTACAAAATGCACACTTTCTATAACAGGATTAGATTTTTACTCAGTCATGTTTGAATAAAAATTATAATTTATTCTAAACGTAAGTTCTGCAGGAAAAACCGAACACTGTTCACTTCAAGACGGAATCACAAAAGATGATGAGCACATTTGGGTTATTTTTGACACACTTTTACTGGCTGCGGATTAATTGATACAAATCACTTTATAATAGCTGATATGTAAAACCTAAATAACAATGAAAAATTGACCGAAAAAATGTTCCACATTTTGCGAGATCTTTGACACGGTTTCGGACATTAGTAGTAAAAGAGCGTTTATTCAAAAGAATGATTCATAATTATTCTTCTAAATAACGGTTCATTATTGTTAACACCTTGGAATCAAAATGCAAACATGCGTTTTTCCTGATGCAAAACCGAACAACTCACAGAATACATTTATTTCTATCCACGTTATATAACAATAAATACCGTAACTTATGGCTGATGGCTTGAAGAGCGAAACGATGCTTTCAAGTTTCAGCAGTAAAAGTACGATTTTTTTAACATTATTTATTTGTACCTGAGACTACTTTGAAGTCGGAGATCCCAAAATAACATAACCAAACTGTTGACCTACTATGGGGCCAATCAACTTTCGCTACTATAAATGGAAAGCGTTTATCACAAAAATAAACTATACACTTTGTTCGCTTTTTTTCACCAATAAAAATCTTATCTTGCGCGCGAATAATTTCTTGGTCGGTTCACCTAGCCATGGCATTGACGTTTCCTTTAATTTCCATAAATCGGAATGAAGAATTAGCGTTGGTCACTTGGATTAGTGATAACTGATAATAAACATGCGTCATAGTGTCAAGTTTAAGTTGACACTAAGTACTTAACAAAAATTCATCGTAAAATGGTTGCACCTTAAAAAGTCTGGGATGACAAATTTAAAAAATAAACGTGACAAACATTTGGAGGACGTTACAAAAATAAAAAAATATAATCGGTTGCTCTTGCCAACTTTATTGAATTTTTAAAAACAGTACGAAAGTACATTTCTAGATAACTAAATTTCAAGGCTGTTCTAGTCATTAATAAACAAGAAATGTAATTTTTTTTTATAGAGTTCTACGACATTTTTATTTGAAATTACTGAATTCACCCAAAAATTAACCTTGATTAAAGATGAAGGTTACGGAATGAAATTTTCTATTTACACCAAATCGTCGAAATTTCTCAAATCTGGAGTTTGAAACTATTAGAAATTAAAATGTTTTCTTTGAAATTCAAATGTGTCGGCATTTGATCACATTAATAATCCAGCAATAGTGGAAAACTCAGTCATCAATATTTAAAATCTCATATATTAAAGTGAAATTACCATTAAGTATGCAGTAGAGACAATGATGGATAGTAAACATTCAAAAATCCAAGCTATACAGGTTTAAATAAAAGAAATGAAAGAAAATTGTTTTTCCAGCCTCTGATATATTTCTTAGAGATTACAATAGTAGCTAACAGACACCTATTACTATGCGAATAACATGGCATTTATATTTTATTATTTTGTATAATATAATGGAATGCGACAAGTAAAAAACTGGCAGTAATCATAAAAGCAGAAGTTACTAAACCGGTTTCCATTTTGGTTTTAGTGCGGATATAGAAAATCCAGAAACTGATAAATTGTACCAATTTTATCTAACCTGAACTTAAAATGCTTAGAAAACAACAATTCTTGCACAATTACATTTCAGTGATAGCCGATCTGCCGATCATCGTAGTTAACAAATATTGACTAATCTGACGTTACAATAGCACAGTTTAGATAATTTTTTAACAGACTTGTTATTGATTTAATAATTTTTGTAAATTTTATTTACACAAAATGGCGAAGCGACTCTAATGCAGGAAACTAAAGTCAGCGTTAGTGAACATTAATTAGCAATTTTCCTGATTACACGTTTCCTGTTGATGTGTCTCAATTAATTAAGTATTTGGCGCCATTTTGAAAAAGAAACTTCGGTACTTCCGAGAGTTAAATGGGCACACATGTGTATAATATATAGTGTTGCACACGTGCTGAGATAATAGTACCATCATTAGAATAATAGGTCATCACGTGACCGCAGTGACGCAACAAACTAACCTATGAAAGTGATATCGCGTTTTAAAAAATTGCCGCCCCACGTGAAAAGAAGATACTGTAGGTATTAAAACAGGATTATTGTTAATGGTATATATTTTATGTTTATCGGAAGTAGCGCCGTGTGAATATCAATGAAATAAGTAAATAATGAGAAGTAGTGATTTAATTGAGAAAAATATGTTTTTAAGCGGGGTTATCTTTGGTATCGGTGCGACTCCATGGAGATTAGTTAAATGTTTACAAAGTTGAAGTAAACAAGGTTTGAGATGTAAATAGAGACTGATAGCCGATAGCAAGTACATACAAGTTGAACTTAAAATGATGCATGAAAGCAATGGCGGAAAATTGATCAATCAGTTGCGTCGGAGGTAAATAAAGTGTGATTTGTTTACGATAGAGTTAGTAGGGGTGAGTGGGGTACCCCACCCAAACAAAACGTGGTTTTATGACAGGTAGCGAGATACGTACGTTCGTAGGCAAAGACATCTATATCCGTATGACCGTATGGCAGAAAAATTGAGTCCCTCGATCACTGATTTTATCGGATGAAACACATGTCAGACGAATAGGATATGATAATATTGCAAGCACGTCACATCACTAGTGCCGAAACAGTCGAAACTCTACCCAGACAGACGACAGACTACTAGATTCCCGTTCATTCAATTCAAACATGAGCCCAGTCCCAGTCAGAAGCGGTCGGATTCCATCGAAACGAAAGCGAAGGGAGAGAGAGTAGAGTCAGAGAGCGAACGCGACGCGGAATCAAACAATATGTGAGAAATTCTTCAAAGTCTGGGACTCTCCATGGTCTATATCGCGACAACGCGGCCAATTTTTACCCCCAGATCGTTGTTATATAATGCGACTTTACATTGCCGGAGTTTTCGTCACTGTAACCGGCACGAAAGCACGCGCACTTATTTGCTTTTTTTAATTCACGCATGTACTCACTTGAGTTTTTACACGCACGCCCGGAACGGTAATGATAACACGACCACCGTGACCCGCACCACGCACCCCATTTTATAGCCTCGCTCCGGGATCAACCTATGGCTCATTATACACGATTAAAGCCACTCCACGCAAGACTTAAGGCACCGCTCGATAATTCTTCAAACTATACCACCAGAGCGAGCCACATATACAACTGCACTTCCACGCTGTTTACGAACGAACTAAACAAAAGGAAGCAGACGTGACGAAGCCACATTTACATATTTGCCAAACTTTACTGATAGCGGCACCTACACACTATATGCACTTCCATAGATAAAATTTGCACTATTCGCTACGTGGAAAAGTCGCCATGAAAGCTCACTGTCCGGTCCGCACTTGTAAAACTTAGTGTCCCATACCAAACAAAAGAATGAGAGCTGGGGTAAATGTATAGTGTAATAAATGTTATAAAAGTCGATCTATTAATTTAATTATAGACCTAAACAATATCTCGTCACGTGGTTAAAATAAATACGTTTATTTAAGTTTCGACAAGAAAATATTGTTCGAAAATTTAATGAGAAAGAATAAGCACCCCTTCTATGAGATACATCGATACATGCCCGCATTTTGAGGATGTATAATGTATGCCTCTTAGGGAGACATAAAATCTAGTGTAAAAACTTACAAGGAATAGTACTTTGTTTCATACAAAAAATCTATTTAAAAATAATGACCTATCAGATTTCCGTTCTAAAAATGAAAAAAAACTAATGCATTCCAACCATATGACTAGACTTGTCCTTTTGGAAATTTTAGAAATTTATCCTGTACCAGGCGAATCAAGTTTTATTCGAACCCACAACTGTTTTCAGTTACACAAAATGCTCTTTCCAAAACTGTTTTTGGAAATATTTTATGCAATTGTTTTAAATCAATGTATTTCACAAAAACTAATGCAATTTGAGCTATTTTCAAGCGTTTTTTGGTACCGCATACGTCAAATGTTATCAATTTTAACTATAAAATCTAATAACGAATTTAGTTTAATAGAAAATAGTATATTAAAATTAGGGGTGGATGGGGCCACGGGGAGTTCGGGAATTTTCCCAGTCGGCCGCCAGCTGATGGGCCGCGATCAAATATCACCTCATTTTATTATTCTATAATCTTTTCTATAACCAAAAATGTACTTTATATGTAAACAAAACGGACCATTTGTTTTGGGCCGACGTGTTTTAAATAGAAAAAATACTATTGAATAAAATAGATTAGCGATAAATTAACCAACACCAGTTCTTTGTTGAAAAGAGAGTTAATGTTTTAGTTAAGTAAACAATAAGTTCATCTTTTTTTAATAAATTTATTATAAAAAAAAATTGTTTTCATTCACTAAACTTTGTATTTTCGGCATCTTGAACTGCACACGATGAACAAAAGAGAATAAATAAATTGGTTTTGCCTCAGACAAGCCATTTTAATAACGTAGTAATTAAGCCTTTCTAAGAAATCTGTACTTTTCAGATCACATCACTTTAAACAATTTTGCTAAAATTCATTTGCAGGCAACTACTTATATTTTATAACATAAAGTGTTTATTCTTTGGAAAAACTAATTGTTTAATTATAAAGTACTATAAAAATGTGATGTTTTATCAAATATAGAATTTTTCGAAATTTTTATTTGTTTTTGAGTTCTACAAAAATATTTATTTTTTTTAATGGCAACCCACTAAAAATACATTTTTCTCATGAAGGTCATAATCTAAGGGATTACAACTATCTAGTTTATATTGAATTCAAAAAAATAAAAAAATATATAAATTGCAATTTTGACAACAAAAATCGAATAACTCAAAAACAAAAAAAAATTGTTCTCTAAATAGTTCGGCTTACGAATTATCGGTAGTTTTCTCTTTAAAATATTTTGTAATTGGATAATTTTTCTTAAACCGTTCAATTTTTTTTAACTTGAACTGAAATTTTTAATCGGAAATTTGTGTTTTGAATAAAATATGCACAAATATGCAGTATTTCCTAAAATATGCACAAAGTTGCCAAAATATGCAAAATATGCATTTTTTATTTGGCTTATTTTAATCAAAAAATATTAGATATGCATAAAAAACTTACAATTTTGTTGATATGCCTCTTAAAAACAAATATGCATTTTGCATGTAATCCGAGCCTTACGCACAAGTATAATTTATCAAATAGTGCCATTCTAACATAAAAAAAAATTTGAGTTAATTGTGATAATTAGTTTCCAATTTATAAAGGAAATTGTGAGGAAAATGAGTAACTTAAAATTAGAGTAATGCAGTGCCATAAAATTTTTGACAAATCCGTGAGAGAATAAATGCCGTCTATAAGGATGGTACACCATCACATTACACAATAAAATTTTAGCCGAAACAGCCGAAGTGAAAGTGCTTTTTCGGGACATCATCCTTTTCATTGAATGTATGCCAAAAGAGACAACAATAAATGCGGACATCTATGCGCACACGTTGAAATTTATGTAAAGCAATTCACCAGAAAAGACTCATTTTTTTAATTAAGAAGTGTTTTTGCTGCATGACAAAGCGACCGTGCATAAGGCCAAAATTAAGCCAATTTTGCAGCTTCGTTAAGACAGACCATCCTTTCCGGACTTGGTTTCGTCTAACTTTTATCTTTTTTCATTATTAAAGAAAAATTTTCAAAAACGCCGTTTTTACTCTGATGATGGCCTAAAAGCAGCCGACGACGAATTTTTTGAGAGTCAAGAGAAAACATTTTTTATAAAGGTAAACTTTTATTGGAGGAGAAATGGCGCAAGTGTAGAGAGGGATTATATTGAAAAATTAGATTATCAAAAAAAATTGTACGTTTTTGTTTCATTGTTAGGTAGCCCTTCGTACATAGTTAAAATTTTTCGTATTGAGACCGATCATCAGTGGCAGTGGGCCGTTTTAAAAATTTTCCTGGGCCGCCTAACGGTACCCCATCCGCCCCTGATTAAAAAACAAGTGTTACAAACACTTACAATCTCATTGTGATACGAGTAAGTAGTTTGTGACGACACGAGCCACGCAAGAGCGAATGTTACAAATGCACGAGTATCACACGCGTTTTTTTATACTATTTTTTCTATTGAGTCCTTTTTAAATTGAATTTATTATTATATTTGACAGTTAAAATTTTTGATATTTAAGATATGCGGTACCCAAATTGCTCGAAAATAGATTACATTGCATTAGTTTCGGTGAAACACGTTGAACTGCAACAATTTCTCACTTAAAAACGACAATCTATGGCCAGTGATGGCCAAAGTTTTGCATAAAATGTCACGTCACCAATTACAATGAGTGTTTATAACACTTGTTTTCTTATATACTATTTTATAATTCAACTAAAATTATGAATTGTTTATATTACACTAAATTAATATCTAAATTTACTAGTAAAAATAGTTTTGCTGTAAGTATTAATTTATTTAACTAAAAATTTACTGAACCAAAAATCTTATTGCCTCTTTTTTATATCAACTGATTAAAATATGAATAATACGAAAGAAAATCAATTGAAAAAAATAGAACATGAATAAAATCTACTATCCACTTTTAGGTAGATTATTTATAGCGCAATTGAATCTAATTTATGATTGGTTCTGTTAAAGTAGTAATAATAAATCTCCGGCACAAGAAGACCCAGAACCCCAATAATAACCATCAACAATGATCACGAGCCGATTTTATGACTATTCTTACAAAGAAACAATTTAAAAATTAAATAAAATGATCTTTTATCAACTATTTTAGTTTAATTTTTAACTAAAAAGAGGAGTTTTAGGGGGTGAGGATAAAACTTGACTCATCTGGTATATGTACAGGATGTTTTCTTAACAGCTATTTCTTTAAAATATTTATAAAGTTTTTGCCGGTTTGTTTTTTCGTATGTATATATAAAATCGTTAAGATACACTGTCACTTTTAATTATTTTTTTTAAAACAGCATACCTACTGAAATTATTTGTTTGCACACATGTGGACATTATTAAAAGCTGCTAACTGCAATTTTATTAGTTTGGCACCGTTATTTGTTTTTAAAATTTAAAACTAACTTCAGTTTTTTAATAGCAGTGGAGAGACAAATAGAAAAGTTTTTCAATAAAAATATTTTTCATAAGGTGGTATTAAAAAAAAGGAAATAAAAAAATAATAGGTAAGTGAGTGATTGATTAAAAAATGTTTCTACATTTATTGACATTAACATACCATTGAGAAAAATCCAAGTAACAGGTAGGTTACTTGTCAAACTTCTAGAAAAAACCGAGAATTTTTTTGATAAACACAGTTAAGTCAAAAACAAAGTGACTTCTTCTTGAAATTGCATTTCAATGTTAAAAATTATTCAGAAAAATTTTTCATCTTAATAACTGAAGTTATTAATCAGAATGTTTTTTTTCTACAGTTTTGAATTTTGCAAACAATTCCTGCATCACCGATACTTTTTTTCCACCAACACATTTAAAGTAAGTATTAAAACCACAAAAAAATAAAAATGAATTTATGCGTCCTTACTTATAAAAAGAATGTTTTTCTATTAATTCTTGTTTTGAATCTTTTTAAAACAGCTAAAAAATCCAATCTATCGCTGAAAGAATTGTCGAAATGTACTTAAACCAGATCTTATTTTTGTGCTGCTATTTCTTATTATTAAATTTGTAATCTACTCAAACAGACGCCCGCATTTGAGTCAAGTGACCCAGAAGAGAATAAATTGCTTATTACGGTCACGTGACCTCTTGGTTTGCCGTCTAAGAAATGCATCGGTAAAAAGAGACAAATTATTTACACAAATAGGAGATTTTCCATCATTCCATCTTTTTCTACCAATGTACAGGGTGCTACATTTTGGATGTCCGAATAGGGAATCTCCGAAACTAAGAGGTTTATCCAAAAACGAGTAATACATTCTGGGGCTCATTTATAATAATGGTTAAAACCGCATCCCGTTATCGTCTTTTGTTTTCGACTTATAGACAAAAATTGACATTTTAGCGAAATCTAAAAAAAATTATATTTTCGTTATTATAGAAGACACAAATTTGAAATAAAGACATTACACAGGCATTTTTTACGTAGAATTTAATAATGTAGTTAACAATTATTTTCAGTTGTTTGTTTAGCCGTAATAAAATAAACTTGTATTTTTTGAAATGGGAATCATAGATGGCTGTCATTTTTAAAAAGCTTGTTTTTTCTTATCTAAAAAATATATATTTGTAAGAGATTATTATAATACATTTTTAGCAAAAAAACATCTTTGAATTTTATTCGCAGTTGGCCATGAAAAAATGTTGCATCTTCAACTAAATGGTCTTCTAAAAAAACATTTTAATTTTTCAATACAATATATTTTATTTGAGAGAAAAATGATGAAAAAATAATGAAAATACCCAAATTCTATCTATCTGGAACGTTGTCCTACCTCCATTAGACCATCGAAAAAATGTTTTTTCTATTTGTGTTGACTATTGACCCATTTATTTTTTCTATTTCTGGATTTTTTAAAAATATGTAATAATTTTGTTCTGGGGCGCTCATCTATTTGTTCGAAACTTCTAACATACCGTATTTTTTAATTTCTAAATTGTATTTATTTTTTCATTTATTTCACAGTTCACAAAAGTCTTATTGATTATTATCTACACATTTAAAGTAAAATAGTTTTTCCATGGCCAACTTCTATCAAACAAAATATGTATTTCATTTTTTAAGTATAATTATGAAAAAATATTTTGTTACAAATATTTTTTAAATCAGAAAAAATAAGCTTTTTAAAATTATAATTTGGCAATTGCCAAAGCCATTTAAAAAAATACCAGTTTATCTTATTACTGCTAAACAAATAACTGAATAAAATTGTTGGTACATTTTTAAATTCCACGTAAAAAGTGCCTGTACAATGTTTTTATTTCAAATCTGTGTCTTCTATAATAACGAAGATATGAATTTTTGTAGATTACGGTAAAATATCAACTTTTGTCAATAAGTCAAAAACAAAAGACGATAGTGGGATGTGGTTTTTAACAATATTATTTTCTCAAAAAACGAGCCTCAGAATGTATCACTCGTTTTGGGATTAACTTAACTTAATTTCGGAGATCCCCTATTCAGACATCCAAAATGCAGGACCCTGTACACACATATTTTGATCAGTCTACCGCACAAAAAAAAAATGGGAAATATACACCCCACAACAATTATCGCATCACTTTGTTTCTTAAGTATAGAGCAAATCGAGTAGCAAATGGCCTGCAAACATTTCATATATACAGGGTGCGCCAGAACTCGCGCCCCAGAGAAAAATGCCATAYAAGGTAAGATACTAGGAACATGGAAAAAATGTTAAAAAAAATTTATCTATAAAAATTTCGAAGTTATGAGACTTTAAATTTTGCACTTTGACTCTATTTATTTCTGTTGTAAAAATAATTTTACAAGTTTTTTTGCTACAGTCTATTAGAAGACGAAACAAGGAAGGTATATCCTAAATTATAACTCTGTTTAATGTTATTTGAGGCTTTTATTGGCAAAATTTGTGTACCTTTACTAAATAGTTGTAAAAAACATATAGGTACAAGATCATCAGTACCATTAGACTTAAAAAAATGTCAATTGTCAAAATAAAATAACAGAGTTTTTTGACAGATAGAATTTTTTAAACATTTTTTCCATGTTCCTGGTATCTTATCTTACTTGAAATTTTTCTCTGGAGTGCGAGTTCTGGCGCAACCTGTATAAACTAAATTTAATCTTTAAGAAGATTTCCACACTAGTTTGGAATGATTTTTGCACTGCTTGTGTTAATTTTTGTTGACTATTCGCAAAATACTGCAGAACCATCTCGTTTACCACAATACTCTAGAGTGAATCAATCAATGACTGTAACTCCTTACTCTATAATTATTCTATAATTTCATTCTCGTCGGAAAAAACACAAAAAAAAGTTAAAGTTCGAATTTCACATGTATAAACATATGTGATGCGATAATGGTTGTGGGGTGTGTGTATAATGTCGAAAAATAGAAAACCATTACATTATTTAGTAAGTAGTAAAATAGAATTTTGATTTTTTTCTGTATTAAATGTTGAGTTTGTGGTTAATTCTGATATTCATTTATTTGATATTTTAAATTGACTTAATTAGATGTCGGAATATAACGAGAACTTGTTTTTGTGTACCGGCCATTAATTTGGTACGTGGTGATTTTCATGCATTTTAAACAATGAAATAGGTTTTGTTTTCAGAAGTTTTCGGCCTCATCCAATCAGTGACGAAATAAAAACGAGGCGGAGTCGACTTAGTTATGTAACTCACGTATTTGTACATTATTCGCGTGTATAATATCCCAAAATTGAATATAAAACGTTGACCAAAGAGTCGGTTTTTGAGTAAATGATTTCTCTAGTGCGCCCCATTTTTATCACCTTGAACTGGTTCCGAGTTCCAGTCTAGACACCATGTTTTTTCATCAATGAGTTAGCAAACCACAATAAATCGTCGAATTTTGCAATAATTTGTGATTTGAAGTCAAACAATTTGTTAAAAACTAGTTCGTCGTTAAAAGTCGCGACAATTCTTTAAGATTTGTTGTTATTAATTAGCATTTAAAATTGCAACTTTCACTTTTTGACCTATTTAAAATAAATAAAAAAATTAGGGTAAATTAATAAATTGCCCTGAGTTATATCGAACCATAATAAAGATACTTATGGATATAATTGCTAATTTATATGTATGAGTGATTGAGATTTAGAACATGAACTAGCATTTTTTCAGCTGAATTACTCAATAATAATAAATAGTAATGCCATTAAAACTTTCACAATCTCATGTAGGCTGCTACTTCGCACAAATATTATTTTACTTTTAATTAAATTTTATTTCACTCCGAAAAATAATTACGTAAAATGGCGCATATCATCGCTTTCATACCCTTTTTTTCCTCATAAACTCGTAAAATTATAAACCTGTTCCACATGTTGTGCGCGTTGTTTTGCTACAAAATTCATTTATGTTGAATAATATCCAAAATTATGCTACCTGATACTAGTTTTCAACAATTCGAATTTTAATAGAATCGTCGTCTGTCTTTGTTAACTCTATTAACTTTTTGCATTATTATTACAATTATTATTTAATACAAATATGCTTTTTTTCAATTGTCAATTATCGAAAAACATTACAAAAATAAAATGCACTTATTATTAATAGTATGTATCTACTCATTAGTAACTATTCAAAATGCGTTTTGTACTGTATGCAACCAACGATACATAACAGAATCGTACATTCAACAAAAATGCAAAGGATTAAGTAAAAAATAGGACATTTATAAATAAGTTAATCTTTTTATTATATTTTACACAAAAATATCGTACATCCTAAAAAAAATTTAATATAAGTGTTACCCACAATATAATTACAACTGAAACTGTACATAAAGTATCACAAAACTGTGGAATAAATTAATAAACTGAACGACCATATTATTACTTTGTCTTCAAGGCATCCCTAACTTTATATACAAATAATTTGTTTATTTTTATTAAAAGACAATAGTTTGAAAAAAATAATGAGCAATAGAATCACAGTTACACTAAGCTTGTCGAATTAATGAGATCTTTTTTTAACTGGCCCATTCGCGTGTGACGTTAAACACAGAAGTTGTATTCTCATTCGGGCCTTACACTGTCTTAAAATATCCTGCACAACACTGAAAAAAAAATTGAGAGACTCCCACTAATCTTTGTTTAAAACTTACGTTGCTTCAGCATTTTCGAGTGGGGGAATAATGTCCAAAGCTTCTTGAAAATAACTCCTAGCCTTTGGTGTCGAGTAGTGGTCGAAAAATATTTGAAGTGCGCTAATATCAGCTCTGGCTTGTTGTGCTCCACCTTGGCTAAAGTTCTGAACACAGGACATAAGTCGGTATAACTCTTCAGCTATCGTTAGGACTACTTGAGGAAGTACGCTTTCTAGTAAAGAAGACGAAATACTGTTAACTTCAGAGTGGACATGAATGAGGTTATTTATACACTCTTTTGCATATGGCCGGATACTATTGGGGGTTATTTCAATATCCCAATCAAATCGGCCTAAATACATCGAGGGCTCAATTGTCCCAACTAAAGGATCACTTTTCTGTTCCAAATACTTCTCCAGAATCGTCCTTTCAAGCACATCTAATTTATCTTTGGCGTTTTTGACGGGAGTTTCCGGTGCCGGAAAACCGCTCTCCTTAAACTTCTTCAAAATGTTATCAAAGACCACATTTTTCGTATAGAGACAATTGGAGAGGGTTATCAAAAGTCTGTGCTCCCAAATTGGCATATTATTATTAGTATAATTCGTCCTATAGCCATTAATTGGAGTTCCGATTAATTGCGAAACGACAGGTGATGTATCCTCATCATCATCGCAACTTTCATCCGAAGACAGATTATTTAAAGCGTTATGAAACGACACCAAAACTGCCTCAATTTGCTTATCTAATTCTTTATGCGCGGTTGGGTTTTCCAAAAGGGGAGTTTCGCGTTGTTCCGTCGACAAGACCGACTCTTTAACGATTTGGATGACGTCTTGAATGATTCGCTCGAATTTGATTGGCTGAAACAGTCACGTGAATCGAAAATGCTTCCAGGATTGGTTTACCTACAAGTTCGGTTATCCCTACATGGTTGCCACTGAAATCAATTTTCCAATTCTCGTTCAATTGTTTTATTTGTTCTGCAGCTTGTTTGAATAAAGTACTCATACAGTGTATCCGCAAGTCTAGTAAAAGTGACGAGACTATATCTAAAGCTTCACTCGGCAAATCTAACTTAATTAAAGCGATATAAGTCGAGCGCACACATCGGAGAATTTCGGGTAAGAACGGCGCGACTTCTTCAAGCTCGGGAATTGTCCAAGACCCGAGGGTGGTTTTGTCGGTTTTATCTAGAGTGTTGGGGATTAAGGACGACCGGATTGATTTGCAAAAGCTCTCCATTATTGTCATGACTATGTGCTAAAAATTGATAAATAAAAACTTTTTTTTTTAGATGGAAAACTACTTTAAATTCAACATGGCGGCCAGGCTCGACTTTCACTCGTAATTCCCCTGAAAAGTAAGCTTGACCAATTTTCCATAAATCGGGGAATGTTTCAGATATGCTGAGACAAATTTCGTCAATAAAATTTACATTTGCGGGAACTGTGTTCAAGTCATTCTGAGGCGGAGGATTATATTTTGAAAATTTCGACGTGGAATTTGACTTCGATTTAGGGTCCGTTTTTTCGACATTGTGTTCACCATAAATTTGTTTTATATTTTTGTTGATGTAAGCTGAGCGACTTTCAATGGCTTTCCAAGCCGGATCCTCGGTACAGTCTAAATTCACTAAGTATCTAATTAAGCGTTTTTGTTGTTCTACAGTTATTGGCATTGTTTGTAAGTCCGTAAGAAGCTTCTTTTTAAGATCGGTTATTCGTTTTTCTACTTCATTAAGTGCAGACTGAAATATCTTAAAAATTTTTGATTAATTTTCTGACAATTAATGTAAATGCAAACTTACAGGCACATCAGTTTTATTGAATAAATTTTTAACTCTTATGTAGTCGTTGATCACGATATCGTATTCACCTTTCTTTATATTCCTATCTATTACACAAGGCAAACAAAACAAAAACCTAAACCGGGCTAGTACATTTAGAGCATTTCGAGTTTTTTCGGCTCGGTCTCGCCGCGCTAATACATCGTCAAATAACTTCCTACCTTCTCTTTCAGATTCTAAAAAAATTCGATTTTTCATGACCAACACAGAAAACAAAATTAATAAAAATAACAATCCTACCTTTTATTGATTTTTCGAGTTTCAGCGTCGGTTCACTTCCAAATTTGGCAACATCGCACTCAATTTTTTCCTTTAAATTAACAAGAGTATCAATTTGGTCCATAACAGAGCCAATATTGGCCTTCAAAAAAGACAGTTGGCCCTCCTTCTGCCCCTCCACTTTCCTCCTCAAATAATTTAACCTAACTTAGGGTAACCACGCACTAATAAAAATTGCAATTACCCGGCTTGTAAGTCATTAAATGACGTGGCGTGATGATTTTCCAGAAGAAACCACCCTGGTGAAAAATTCCCAGCGGCGATGTCTCCAGATTTGTCGGGAAAATATGTTATTAAATCATCTTCAGGAAACTTCTTGTCATTGCCTTCTACAGAGAGACCCAATGGGTCTTCCTGTTGGTAACTACTGGGAGACAACGAATGCCGCCCCCATACAAACAAAGGGGTGGTTTCCTCGACCCAAACTGCACTCTCCTTCATTGGGCCAATAGTTTCGTGGTAACCTTAAATAACTAATAAAAAGGCTCCTCAAGAGACAAAACTGTACCTTTAAATGTAACATTACAAGTGCCTACGCCCCCCAGTCTTGTTGTTACTATAACATCCCCTTTACCCTTCACCGGTCCCGAAATTGCAATAATCTTATTCGGAGACTTCCATTCGGCTGATAAAAGACAATCAAAACCGCAAATTGTCAAACCTGTCAAAAAATGAGGTTACTTTTCCCTATTGATTCTACAAGACACCTACCTATCAAATCAGTGGGCTTAGACCCAAAATTCTCTCCCCTTATTGTAATTCTCGTCCCTGGAAGACCTTCGTTAGGGCTTAGCCCTGTTACAACGGGGGGCGGTGCCATTTTCTAACTACAAAACTAAACACTTTTCATTTCAAAAACTTATCTTTGATGTTAATTTAAATTAAACGATTAATTACACCAATTCGTTATTGCATTCTAATTTAAATAAATAAATTAAAAATATTTTTATTTTAACTCTGACATTTGACGTTTACATTACGACAACAACACACTCAGCGCCACCCTTCGAGAAACAAAAAACTAAAGACCAGCGCGAAATTTAAACGTTAAGATGCGTACTTCCGTTCCTCCACGGAAATAAAGTAATTCTTGTAATTTAAATGCGTATTAACTTAATGAAAATTTATTGCGGTGCATCTATTACATGATCGTGACAATTGGCCAATTTTGCTAAGTGCAGCTCAAATTTACATAAAGTTGCTTAATTTGTTAACATTCTGCGTCTTGTCATGAAAACTTGGAATAAACAAGCTTTTAGCTGTTTTCATTTTTATTAAGTTTTACAAAATTTGCGTGTATTTTTGTGTACATTTTTTTTAACTTCGTTATTTTTCACTTTGAGTCAAAATAATTGATTTTCTGGTTTTAAGCCAAGCATAGTATTGATTATTTTTTCCGAGGTCAGTTCTAGTTACCCAAATAGAACAATTGTAGTGACGTAAAGTCGCAACTTGAATCAATAGTTAGCACATTATTCAAAAATTGTAACTTTTGGCATAAATATGCGCTACTTTGTTGAGTCCGAGTCGGTAATTTTACGTGGAAATAATGAAAACACTTTAAAAATGTGACGTCACTAAGTAATTTACCGTCGATACGATAGTGGGGAGTAACACACATTCAGAGCACAGTTTCTTTCGTGTAATAGTTGTGTTGTGCATCAAACTCCAAAAAAATGACTGATAATTATCCCGAACATTTGAATCCCTTCGCCGATGAAAAACCAAGACCAAAACTCACAATTCGGGACTCTTTTAAAGAACTCAAAAAAAATCTGTGAGTATTTAAATTGTCGCTCTTATCGCAACACCTACCTACATTGACTCGAATTTTGGAAATTCCAATTAAATCAAATTGAAAAAATTCGGGAATCACGCCAAAAATATGCCTCTGTAAATGTTTTAATGTTTGCTTTGTGATAAGTGACAACCAATCAAGAGATTATTAATTACTTACCTTCAAAGTATTTTTACACTTTTATCTTTTATTTGCCGACTTGAATAGCTAAGTGCGAATAATCGCATTGTAAATTTTGGTTTTAGTGGCCGTAATTTGGTTTATTTAACAACTCTGACCCGGATTCAACAATGACAATTATTTGCATTTTAGTATTTTTATGAATTACATGTGTTACATTGTTTATTCTAGTTTGTTTAGATTAGATTGAATTCCACTTTAAAGTAAAAGTTTTTTCTCTGGATGAGGGTTGTTATGAAACAATTATAAGTATTTCAAAATACCGGCATTAATGCATTTTTCCAGCAACTGAAAGTCAATGCACTCGCGAAAATGCCCATAAATAATTTTTACTACCGGTATGTCACTGGACTCATGAAAAATCTCATCTCAATCTATAATTTTACTTAATAATTGCTTAATTGCATGTGACGCAAGTGTAAAAAATAGAAGCTATAATAGAACGTGATTTGTTTATTTATTAATTGATAATTCTAATTAGGAGTCTGATAAGAATATTTGCAACTCGGGCCCTATTTTTTATTCAAAGTCCACCACAAACAAATTCAATCCAATTTATAATAAAAGAGACATTAATTTTAATTATTATTCATCACAGAATTGTCGACAATGCATTGTCCAGTTCTGATTAATTTTTATTTAATCGTATGACATCCGTTCTCATAAAAGTAAGTGTTTACCGAATTTTGTTGGCACAATAAATTAGCAATTGTAATTGAATTGAGTTATTTTCTAAACGAAAGTGGGCATAAATTAATACAAAAATGCTTTCCGACTTTTAAGATTAGATTAGTGAAACAAATTGAAAAACAATTTAATTTATTTACTCGCTTTACCCACCTAGATGAGTAATCTATTATGACATTCGACTTTGCTGACATCATTGTTATAAATAAATTTAATTTAATTAAATCTTTGCAGGAGACAATCTTTTCGGATCAAAAAGAAGGAAAACGATGAAGTGACAATTCGGCAAAAAAGCGGTAAGTTCTGTGAACTGTAAGCATGACCTAGTCAACTTCCGTTGGGTGTCAACCGGAAATAATTAAAAATTGATTTAAGAAACCCTCAGGAGATTGCCTTTGTCGTACCCAAATCAGCAAAACGAAGCACTTCCTCGTTCAAGATTTCGGGAACGCGTAACAACCACAATTACAAGTTTTCCGGGCCCAAATCCATTTGAAGAAGAAGAAAAACGGCAGAATGCCACCACAGCAAGGCGGAGAGGAAAGAAGCGGGCGCCTTTGCCCCCGAAATCGATGTCTAGTCAAAATGTAATTACTGTGCATTAAAGTGTGACAATTACTATTTTTTTTAATTAGGTTAGTAATTTGGAAGCTTCGTCGGGTGGTTCGCACTGGAGTTTGACTTCTGCCGACACCGACTGTTCCCTATCGACTGATAATGGGAGTCGTGATGACGAAGTAAAGAAAGATGCAATGATAGATGAGTTCAAAGACTTTAATAAAAATATGGAAGCGTTAAAAGACGACAGTAATAATAATAATATGATTACCAAAGAGAAAGCGGAATCAAATAATAACATTCCAGACTTAGTAATATCTTGTCCCAAAGATACAGAAAAAAGTGAAGAATTAGAAGAATCTGTGCAAGAAATTGATAATTTGTCTGTCATATCGGAGGGAGATACTTCAGATCTAATTGTTAAGGATATTACGAGTAATGTGATTGAAGAAGAAAAAGACGTGAAGAATGAAGAGGAGGCCGAGGAACCGGATATAAATTATTGTGAGAAGAAGTCGCTCTACATCGCTGGATCTCGTGACGATTTGGATGATTCTTCAAATACTTTTACTGGAAGAGTTTCCTTGTATATAACAGGATCATGTGACGACCTTGATGCTAGTAATAACAACGAAGTTTGTAATAAATCTGTAACCGACGAAAATAATATCTCTGATGCAGTTCCGACACCCAAGCAAAGAAAAAATAAATTGTCTAAAAATATCCTTTTAGGAAAGGAATCAGTCTGCAATTAAACACTGCATTGAATTTTTTTATTGAGTTTAAATTAAAACTTAACAGAAACAATAGGGAATGCAAATTAGCAAAAACTTATTTCCTATACAGTTCTCGTTAGTAATAGTAATAATAACACTGTAACTATGAACAATCTATAAATCAACAAAATAAGTCTAATGGACGGTGCTGTAGAGCTGGATGACTTTCAGAGAGACGTTCTGTCAACTAAGCGAGAAATTTCGCTTAGGACGCCAAACCTATAGTGAAAATTTTGAAAAAATAAACCGTTATGTATTTCCTTGTGTTTCATTTTGGCGCATCTTTGGTCAAATTGCTGTAATCCGATTTGTACTTTTCTGGTGGTAACAATGTACAAATCTGGGAACGAAAATGCATCTCTGACAAGTGAAATAAACGCTATATCTATAGTGGACCCTTGAATGTGTTTTAATATATAATTGCGTGCAAACTGGATATAAATACCACTCACCCCACTACAACTAAAAATTATCACAATTCCATCCTACTGCCTAAACCCATATAATAAATTAAAGTACGTATAAAAGTCTTATCTAGTCCTATAGACGATTTTATTGCTCATCTTTTTCCTCCGACGTGATTTCTGTTACTTCTTGTTTAATATTATTGTCTACTTCATTAGTATCGAAAGTCTCACGTTTCGGACTTATCCTAAAGGGACACTGATTCAAATGTTCTAAGAAAAATGAGTTGTCCAAATACGAGTTTGAACAATATTTACAGATTTTATAGCGTGGACTTGGCTTATTTTCGTAGATGTCGCCCCCATTATGAATGGGATAGCTCTTCTGGATGTGCACAAACCTATGATTATCTAGTTCGGCCCGAAAGAAGAACTTCATCTGGCATTGGGAACACTCATAGGGTCTACTATCCAACCCATGCCCGATAATGTGACTCTGCAACCCGCTCGCGGCTGTAAAAACTGAGGAACACACGTAACAACTATATTGGTTCATCCCGTAGAAATTGTGCTCGATTAGGTGTGTCTGCAGCTTGAGAGGGGACGAAAAAACTTGTTTGCACAAGCGGCACTCTAGATTCGTCCCTTCGTTCAACATATGCATCGCTGCGTGGTTTTGCACGTCACTCTCACTGTCAAAAGTCTGGGGGCACTGGATACACGCGAACTGTTTCGGCACTTTTTTCCCCTCGTCTTCACTTTTCGCACAGTCTTTGCACACGACAATGTTAATATCGTTCGCCGATTGGCTACTCTGACTGTCAAAAACCTTGCTGCAAACCCCGCACATATACTCTTTCTGCGTGAGGTGCTTAAGGTGGAAGTTGGCATGAAGTTTGATCTCCACATCGGTTTGCAACGTCTGACAGCAGATGATGCAGTTTGCCGGGAGGGAAATCTGAGCGTTGGGTTTTGTCGGATTGGCACTGTGTTGCAACTGATGGCTGTAGAAGGACTGCTCGTCACTAAGGACCGATTTGCATTGGACACAACTATTCCCCTCGACGATTTTACAATGGGTGAGTTTGTGATCCGCAAGAGTCAGGGTGGAGGAGTAGATCTCGTCGCAAATGTTGCATTTGTGTTTGCCTTTACCGCAGGTTACTTGGTGGGTTTTCATGTGGTTTTCCAAGTCGGTACGGGATTTGCAGTACTCGTTGCAGTAGGCGCATTGTAGACTCACAGGACCAATTTTGTTTTTGCTGTGGTGGAGCTTCTTATGGCTTATTAGGTCCGATTCGGAAGTTATATCACTGCGGTTGCATATATCACAAGTGTAGACCGATTCCAGAGGAGGTTCCATACCCACGTGGTCGGGAGTTACTATTTTGGGAAACATGAAGTTAGGCGATCTGGACGGATTTGGGTTCATTGCTGAATCCAAAATGAATTTTTCACCCTGGAAGAATAAACACAAACTTTGAAACTGATATGGTGCTGCTATGTCGATATCTTTACCTCTTTGCTTTCATTGTGCTCCTTCAAAATGTGTATGTACTGCGAGTATTGGTCTTTGAACGTCTTGTGACAGAAAGTGCACTGAAAAATCATATTATAGTCGCGAAATCTGGTATCCAACTCCTGGTATTGCGACCGTAATAGTTGATTAGTGCCAACACAAGGTGTGAATTGTTGGTAGTGCTTCATGGAAATGTGCAATTCTGCCGAAAGTCTGTCGTGAAATACCTGATTCGTGCACAAGTAACACTTAAAATGTTTGCATTCGTCGCTGTGTTTGTTTGTCAGATGCAACTGCATTGATATTTTAGTGTCAAAAATGTCGTTACAGATTGAACACTTGAAGACTGAGACGACGTGGACTTCTAATAAGTGTTTTTGTAACTCTTCTAGTCTTTCAAAAGACTTCTTGCAAGTGTAACAACAACGTCCAGGTACTTGAGCAATGGCATGGCTAAAAATATGATTGGTGAACGAAACAGGGTCACGTCCAGGTTCGCCACAAACGGGACAAAACCCTAGTAAGGAATTATTTGACGAGATTACATGTGACTCCATGTGGTGGAGGAAACTTTTGAAATTTGGCAGTTGTGCGTAGCAGCACGAGCAAATACATGGCTTGTCATTAGAGTCATACGGACTTATCGCCGATGGTGAATGTTGATCTTTCTTCTTTTTGACCGATTTTTCTGCACTGTCTTCATTTTTTTTCTTTCTGCTCAAGTCAGTCGGTTGGGTTTGAAATGGAGAAAAGCTTTTCTCAATCCCCATAAAATTGACAGGATTAGGAGATAAAGCCGGACGCCAATGTACATTATTTATATGATTTTTCAAATTTTGTATCGAGTCTAATTGCATCGTGCATCTATCACAGGCGTATGTTGGTGTTCCGTTTTGACAAATTTCCGGTTTTGGGGAGTTTTGAATTGCAGGAGATGAGACGGAAACCGAAGTTGTAACACCGTTGGGGACGTCACGATGGGCGATATTTGTGTGCTGGTACATCAACTCCAAACTGGGGAATTCTTTCGAGCAGTACATGCAAACTATTTTCAAATCTTCGATTTGGTTTTGATATTCTGATAACGGCTCAGGGGTCTGGCTTAGCGACGAGTCGGTGTCGCTGTGGACCATTGCGATATGACTCTAAAAATTACGAAAAAATCTAAGGGCAAACTTGCCTTCCAAAAAAAAAACGCGATTAAAATTTTCATTGACTATCAGATAACATTATTTTTAGCAAAGTATTGACTAAAATTTCCTCGTAATATTCCGGAAAACGTGTAGGAATAAACTATTGATCTGTTTGTACAGAATGTTCCAAAAAAACTTTATTGGTTTTATCTTTGTTAAAAAAAAATTAACATAAGTTTTTCGTACTAAGTTATAGTAAAAACAAGTTTAAAATTATATAGGACGGTTTTGAAATAATAGACAAAATTAACTTTTCTTTTCACTGAATCAGAATAATAAACTTTTAATTACAGATTTGCTCGTTTCAGGTGAAGCAAAAAATGTTTTTCCTTTGAAGTTTTGGCGTAAAATCAAAGAAAAAAATTTTTTCCTCTTGTAAACTCAATCCGGGGACATACTGTAGAACAAAAAAGGCTGAATAACTTTTTTTCTACTTCGCACCATAATTGAGAAAAAAACATAAAGGAGTGAGTATTTTCGATGTGCGTATAGGGGATTTCCGAAAATATAATATTTAGGAAAAAATGAGTGACACATTTTCGAGCTCATATTTTAAGAAAATAATTTTTGTTAAAACCACATCTCGCTATCGTTTTTTGTTTTCGATTTATAGACAAAAATAGACCTTTTAGCAATAGCTTAGGTATAAAATTAATATCTTTGTTATTCTTATTACAGTAAACACATTTGAGGTTCAAATGGATAATTCCAGAGTTTTTTCAATTATTTGCTCAGTTGTAATTTGTAATACAATAAACTATGTATACAAACTTCTAAAATGCAGCTTCTTGATGAAAAACGATACGGTAATTGTGTTTTAGGTTCATTTCCTACGTTGCATATTAATGTTTCATTAAAAAAAGCATTTTCCAAGCTATTTTTTAAAAATTTTTCATTGAATAAACTTACTTAAAATATAAAACACAGTTTTAATAATAAACTTTTGTTTGTTGTATATGTCATCATCCCTGTTAGGCGGTCGGGATTTATTTACCTCCACTATCTAGCGCTATCGCAGTACCGCACCCTTGTCTGCGGGCCGAATTTAATTTTAATTTTTGAGTGTCAAGTCAAATTTTCAAATTTATATCTCATGTTCATGTCAATGAATGACATGTAAATGTCGATCCCTCTGTGACCACTATAAAAGTGAGGCTAATAAAGTAACGTCCATTTTAGAGATGATGTCAGTAGATTGACAGTCCTGTTCGAACTTCCATGTCCCTAACTGTACGACAGTATAAATCCCGACCGCCGAACACAAGTCATGAACACCCAATAAAATTTTGCTTATTATTTCAAAACAACGTAAATTAAGAGGTTTTCCTGTAGACAATAAATTACAGAAAATATGTCCCACAATGAAAACGTTTAAGATTTGTATTTATCCTCAAAAAAATACAGGCTGTCAGAACTCAGAACTGTCAGAACTATTTAATGATACTGATGATCTTGTATGTGTTTTTTTTATAATTATTTATTAAAGGTACAAAAAGTTTTCCAATAAAAGCCACAAATAAGGTTAAACATAGTTAGAATTTAGGATACAGCTTCCTTGTTTCCTCTTCTAATAGCCTGTAGCAAAAGATTTGGAAAATTTTGTTTCAACAGAAATAGAGTCAAAGTGCAAAATTTCTGAAATGTCAAAAATCAAACGCGATTTGGACGGCCTACCATGTTTGGACCTTAATTTTGTTAGAATTTTATTTTATTCCAATTTTTGACTGAAAATAATGTGATTGTGAATAAAATAGCATGCAAACCTCGGTGGTAATGGCATTACCCCTTGTGCTTTATCGAGGCTGGCGCCTTTCGATCGTATACATAAGCACTCGGAGTAATGCCATATTTACCGTCTCGCTTGTAATGTACTATAACACACAAATAGCTAATATACAAAACTTTTTGGCCGAGGGTAGTTCTTCTATTAAGGCTTGGTTAAACGTATTTCTCTTATGGCGCTTCCAATGTAAAAGAATTGCGGCTATAATTAAGTTATTTGAAAAGATATCAACGTCGTTTAAAAAGTCAATGTATCTTAGAAATGATATCTACAAAATGGCCGAAACAAAATTTTTAAAAATACTTATCAAATTACGGCTACTTAAATAAACACCTTTTTGGACTAAAACACTTATAAAGACACCCAGGCTTCAAAATGAAAAAACTCTTCGGCCGTTCGGTAAAGATTTTTATTTGAAACATATTTCGATTTGTCAACAAGCAATAGATATGACAAGTCTATGCGTTTATTATGTTTACTATAAGTTGGCGTTGATCACAATCCTGTCAAAAAAATATATTGTGTTTATTTTTGAATACTGAATAGATGAGTGCAGTATTTTCTCTTAGTATTAATGAACTTCAATTAGATAAAGTTTTTTTTCTGGGTCTTTGAAAGCCTAAAGTTTTCGTGTCATTTTCCCGTGACTGTCAAAAATGTGTAAACATGTCAAGACAAAAAAGACACTTTTATTCGTTCCCCAAAATGTAAAATGTAGTAGTATTTAACTCATTTGAATCTAGATGTAAAATCTACTCGACTGTGAATATGTCAATACAACTCGTACGAAGTTTTTTGTTTTACCTGTAGCAGATCCGGTTTTCCGAAAGTTTCAGCACAATGAGTGCACCGGAAAAGTCCGGGGCTAGGGGTGCTTCCTCCACTCGTGCGACTTCCGGACCTAGATTCTTGTTTCAAGTGACTTTGTTGATGCGACGAGAGTGCTGCGGCGGTGTTATACCCCCTATTGCATGTACCACATTTATATGGTTTACGACTATCATGTGTTTTCATATGAATTTTAAGATGATCACTGAAAAAATTCATAAGAAATTCAAAAAAAAAAAAACAAAATAGATGAATCTAAATCGCATTTATTATAAAGTGATTAAACCGACCGCGAACTTACTCGCATATTAATCACAGTAATTGAAAATTAAAATATCTCATACGTGTTCTTGTTGGAATAATTGCTCGAACTTTAAATACTTTGAGCCATATGTTGGAAATTTAGCGTTTCACACGGTAACATCAAGTTTATTGCATTCCACAAGAATGTCTTCGTTAGTAAGACCACTGTCTTGATGCCTTAACTAGTTCACAATCCGACAAAAAGCCAATTCTTAAACGTACCTCCGTGAAAAGGCGGAATCGCACTGCTGACATTTATATTTTTTATCCCCAGTGTGAAGCTTCGTGTGGCGATCTCTTGATCGTTTATGCTTGAAAAGTCGAGGACAGTAAGCACAAGTGAATTGCAGATGGTCAGTATGACTCTATAACAAATCAAAATAAAGTCAAGAATGTGTTAAACTTGTCCAATTCAATGACTCGCTCATATGTCGTTTGCTTAAACCAGTCGAAACATTTTCAACGTGACATGTTGTATGATGCGATACAGTCCAACCTTTGACTTTACAAATGGTTATGGCGATTGTCGCGTGGCCATAATAACGTAACCCGACTCAACTAACCGGGTCTGAGACATACTTAATCAACATTTTACACACAAACTATTTTGAATTGTTTCACACGTTATCTACTCACATTTCGGTGCGCGATTTCCATATGGTCGACACAATCATTTTTATACTTCAAAATAAATAAAATAATCATAATATGATATGAGCGAAGCTAGACAAATAATAACATACCTAATATATTTTTTGCAACAAAACTTCGAAAGTTCGAGTAAACAACGTGCATTTTTCCTTATTTTATTTGCCTGTAAGTGATGTGCAAATACTAGCGGATTTAGACATTTAGAAGCCCTGGGCGTAAGTTTTTTCACGAACTTGAAACTATTTACTATATGTATATTAATTATACTCACATAACAAAAAATATGTAAATTGGCCATTTTCATGAAAAAAATAAAATCAAAAAAATCATAATTTAATTTNAAATCATAATTTAATTTAAGAAAAATATTAGGTGAAATTTTTCTGTAAGAAGGAACACAAAAATACGAAGAGCAATTTTAAAATAAAATAGGCTATTGTTTCTGAAATCATTTAAGCAATAGGTTCAAGCTGACGTATTTTTAAAATTATTTAATTTGACGATGTGTCATTTCTTTGAATCTAATTGCCTGTATTAATACAGGGTGAATATAAAGTATGCAACCAAGCGGTTTTTTTTAATCATTTGCCTTTAAAATACAATAATTAATATAAATTAAAGTAATATAAAAAATATGATAGTATTTTAAGAACGAAATTTTGTTTTGTTTTTGGGTTGTGCGAATTTTTTTGTCAAAATTGCAATTTATGTACTTTTTTCAAAAAATTAAATATAAATTAGATAGTTGTAATCCTTAGATCATAACCTTTATAAGAAAAATGGTTGTATAGTGGGTTGCTATTTAAAAAAAATAAAAATTTTGTAGAACACAAAAACAAAAGAAAATTTCGAAAAATTTTATTCTTGATAAAAAATCACATGATAGTACTTTAACATTCATCAAATAGTTTTTCCAAAACAATAACCTTCAACGTAAAAAGTTAACCAAAAAATACCATTATTTGAATATTTTACACTATTTTACATTTAAGACTAACACTTTCTTAATTGTAAAAAAAATCTCATATAAACTACATGCTTTTTGATTTCTTATAAAATAATAATTTTTGGTTTTCTGTTACACATTATTTCTCATATGTATATGTATAATTCTTACAATTGTATTACTTGTGTATGATTTTGCGATTTTGTGATGGTGGACATGTCCAAATTTAATTAGGCGTGGTAAGGCGATAGGCCGAGTCCTTTATGGTCCCAAAGCCGCGATTTTATCAAAAATTTGACTTAAAATATGTTATAGCGCTTTGTCGCCTCAAAACTCGGTCGGTAAGATCAAAGTCAGCGACTAGATACTATTTAGTTTATCTCATATGTCTCTAACCGCGGTCACGTGACTAAAATAACCGAAATTTTAATTACGAGTGTGGTAGTACAGTAGGAATAAGCGTAGTACCTGTTCGTGCTCCCTGAGCAGTTTTTCTTTTAAATAATTTTCTCCACATACCGTGCATTTGTATGGTCCTGGTTTGGTATCTTGATCTTGATCTCCCTGTACTTGTTCATCGTCAAAAGGTTGAGTTTCGCCACATCCAGAACCACCGGATGCGGAACTGGCAGCCGTTTCATCTTCGGCTACTGGAATTTTATCAAATTTTAGTAAAAGTGCAAGAGCGTTGGAGGAGGAAATTATTAAATTGAGGAAACCAAAAACTGGGAGATCCGACACCTACAACGCGCGAACCGTGGGAAATCTCTCAATTAATGTAACTTACACTATTTTCTTGTCAATTGAAATTAATGATCATTTTTTGTTTATTTTGTTTTTGAGACCAAGAGATGCATTGATAATGTAAACTGCAAATGAATGTCTCTATACACATACGAATGAAAACCCTTTTGACAAATAACTGATATTTCCTATTAGGAAGGCGCTACATATAAGTAATGTAGATAAATGACTTCACATTTCCTTAAGGTTGTTATTTCTAAAAGGGCAGCCTGAATCTCTCCATTTCCATGTGGATAATAGAGTAAAATATCACTTGATAATATGCCTTGCGTTCTCAAATTGAGATGGATTGATATTTGCACCCTCCAACGCCCAAAAAATCCAACAAAAAACAACCTCACATTAATTTAATTTAATATGCAATTGAATTTACAAATTGTCACCTATTTCTAAAATTTTAAAAAGTAATTATCTTAATTGAAAAACAGAAAAAAATCGAAACCTATATTTCTAATTAATATGTTTTTCAGATTTTCAGCTAATTTCTTTAATTGAAACTTTTTTCATAAATACATAAAAGAACATCACACAGGATATCTCTTTTCGAATTTTTGAAAGAGCCACGAACTTGATTTTTTTTTAATAACTGTTACAGATAACAGGGTTGAAAATTAACTGGAAGAGTACTTGAAGGAATTAAAATGGCTGTTATGCAACGTTTCGTCTATTAACCATAGACATCAACTTTTTGAAAAATTACAATAATTAAATGCTAAAATTAAAATTTATAATAATCAGTTAAATTAGATTTAGAATTACTTACAGATCACGGCATCGACATGACACAATGCATGGAAAGGTCAAACAATAAGTGAAAAGAAAAGACGAGTCGATCTTTACAATAAAAAGTAAATATCGGAATACCAATAAGCAGATAACCAGATAACTTTCTTCATCAAAATTTAAGAAGCACCTTAATTTAATAGAAAAAATAAAAATCTATTTTTAATTTTTTACTTCGAGCTTTTTGATAAAATAACTCACAAAACGTTTAAAAAATACTACAATATTACAATAAACTTGTTTTATCAAATTTTTAGTAATAATTAATTTAATATAACTAAAAAACGAAGTCAATTTTTTATTTATATTTTTTCGCTGCTTATTTATTTTTTTATAAATCAAAAAATGTACAAGATGTCTCTGGAAAAACATCTAAATTATAACAAATCAAGAAGGACTTGATTTTTTAAATAACTACTAAAATAAACATGAGAAATTTGAGGTACCCTAACTTTGCATGTTTTAATTTATCTTGTTTGACATCTTTATAAAAGCCATATTTTTATAAAAAGGTACTATTTTTTACTATTATTATTCTCTTATAAAGATGTAAAATTTTACACTCAAATAAAATACAATATAATCTTCGATATTTTGTGTGAACTGTTTTATACATATTTTGAGCGAATTTATTTGTTTTAACTTTACTTTAACATAATTAAATGAATTTATGGGATAATTCTGCGTTTTAACGTTTATAATGCATCGATGTAACATCTCATTAAACGGTACAAGTTTCCAATATTAGTGCCATCAACATAACATTTAAATATTTTAATCCAGTTTAGATTTAATTAAAGACAGTATGTCGGCTTAATATCAAATCTTGATATCTCCATTTATAGAATCTCACTTAACTAAAGGTTTGAAAAAAAATTCAGTGCCATATTTTTTCTACTGAATTTTATTTTAAAATTGTTAAAAAAATACCTGGCACTTTAAATTCTCCTTCCTTTGTCGACTGTATTTTTTCAATCAGTAGTTCTAAGCGACTACTATTTCCCTTGAATAACATTTTCATTTTTATAAAATACTTCAATCACTCACTGCACAACACAGGTGGTTTGTATGTTTTCACGTGTAAAGTCTTGTGCTTACTGCTCTATCTGTGAGCCTCCCTCCACTGTGACAACCAAACTTTGGTTTGTTCAACGAAATATCCTTTATAGTTTTGCTGGGGGAAAGGATGGGCTTAAGGATTAAGACACTACCACTAAAAGGCGGTCTTTCGTTAATATTACCATTAAATACAAGATAATAGCATCTTCACTGTCTTATCGACCAATCAATTTGATTTATTTAACCCAGAGTTGCTCCAAGAGGTGATTACTGAACTAGAAACTTCAGTAATCCGATACTTTCATATGTTAATTACCTAGTCGGATTTTTGCCAGAGAAGGATCACAATCGATTCATTCATGTGTCGGAGGAACCTTGCAATTATTGGCCGCCTGCTAACGTGGGAGGAGTTTTCTTTACTTTCATTCAATAGATGATGCAACACACGCGAATTTTATTTAAAAACTTTGATTTATTGGCGCAAATTGACGGAAAACATGCCGATCACCTGTCCACTGTCAGACTGTCATTCCAGCCGTCAACTCCGATTATTCTCTTCATGTGAAAAACCACATTTTAGCAAAAAATAGGTACTAAAAGCGGTTCAAGATGAAAGTTGTATTTTTCGATGATGGTCGTCTCGTCGGTGATTTGGTGTTTTTCCGCACTAATTGCGATTTTATGTAAAGTTGATCAGCGAGCACCCAAGAATAGCAAATTGTATCGGCTGAGATCATAGAAACGGGTATTAAGACAGCATTGTTATCGGTAAGTTCTCGGAGTATCCGTATATAGAGCGTGGGAAGAAACAAGATTCCATGATCACATCTCAGGAAAAACTAGTGGAAGGAATCCGCCACCTAATGCAGGATTAGTGTCGGGAAACGTGCACTGCGAAATTAAACGTGCGTTACTTACGTACAAGATACCAATTTTATTTTAAAAAGAACTCGCTCCTTGTTATAGCGTTTTATTCGAATTATTTAACTCGAACACCAGTGATGATGATGAGATTTTTTGCTAAGGGAGAGAGGAACATTATCGACTAGCATTTTCCCATCGACACTTAGATTTGATTCTATTGTGAATAACAAAAACGTAGTTACATAAAGGAATGTCTTCATTGTTGAAATCTTTACATATTTTTAAATCACTAGTCGCGATTAAACCGCAACTGCTTTGTTCGTGGTCAATTTGTCTCGCTGGATGCACTAAAACTCCTCAATTTTCAAATAAAGCTGTCAAAGCAACGGACTTGAGGTTTTAAACTGTGTAATAAAATTATTGCTTTATTGGAAATGGCGCCCGAAGTCACGCGGAAAAATCATTTTACAATTTCTTGTTGGTCGGCACGAGGCTGGAATAATATTTTGACGGATGGATAAATATCAGCTGTCTAGACAGGTGGGCGTTCTGCTTGGTGAATCCCCTAAATGGGCGATTTTGATACACTCAAAGTGGGACCAGACGTATTGGGATCAACACCTCGCTTCGACTGTTTCACCTGCCAGATTTTTTCACAATTGTATGCTTAAATAACTTCATATCTTGAGAAAAAAATATTTTACATCAGGTTCTACGGAATCGTCTACTCTTCTTTTGAGCAGATGTATGTACATACAATTGTTACGTCAAGGCGCCGCAGGATCGCTCGTGGGGGGTAAATAGTATAGCGAGTTCCTAGGGGGGACCTCATACATTTGAACGTAACCCATGTGGGTGTAGCTGGTCACTTTTGGGTGGCCGACTCTCTGGAAAAAGTGCAGAACTAAATCACTGTCGTTCTTATAAATTTCACGGTAGAAACTTAAATCAATCTCTGAAACATGTGAAAAAGTAAAAAAAAAAAACATTTCGGTCAATGGACCATTCGATTCATCGATTTTAATACCACAGGAAATAATATATTCTTGGTCGTTTTGAGCAATTCGTTTCACCTAGTTTGAGTAAATCCCGTTGGCCTTAAATTTTCTGATCAATAGATCATCTTTACTTCCGTTATCTATGAAACCGCGAATTGTAAAAAATCGACATATATAGGCTGTCCGGCATCTCACTAGCAAAACACGAATAATTTTATTGTTATTTTGTTGGTATAAATCACGATGTAATAAAAACATGATTGTTTCGTCGTTATCATATATGATTAGAGCAGTTGACAAGCGTTAAAGTAATACCTGAGTATTGGTAATGAGGCGAAGCGTGTTTTTTGATTATCGAACAGTTTCTGCTTAATTAAATCGATTATGACAAAAAGGTAATGTAATGTAGAGGAAGTTGATGTGAAAAGTTTAAGAATTTTCTTGCGTCGCGGTGTGTGATCCATTTCTCATAATAAATTATTACATAAAAAAATTAATATAAATGTAACGGTAGCTTGGTGCATAATAAATAATAATGTTGGTTTGGTGAAACCGTTAGAGTGATAATTATTAGATATTGATTAGATTTGAAGCAGATTATCTTGTTTTGTTGTAAATAAAACTACCAATTTGCGTGTGAAACATCAGACGACACTCCACCTGAAAGGTGGCGCTAGTTGTCCGGAGAAAATTTTCCACACTCGCATGGTTCATCGATTTTACATTTGGAACCTGTTGCTTCGTAAAAAATAATTCGTAACTCTCTGAATTTTGGATCAGACTTTGAATCGCGTAATTGGAGATTTTGGTATGATAGATATAAATGAGTGATGGCTTGAATGGTCCGGAAAGAAATTTGATATTTTAAATGAATGGGGTGCCGGCGATATTAATTGTAGTATCCCATGAAAGAATCTCAAAATAAAACTCCCACAAGCATTCTTTACAATTGACGGTTTTGTCTGTGAATAATCCACATACAAAGACATAAACTTCGAATAAAGTCATCAATTTTTACGGTTTAATTTCTAATAAATGCGTTTTGAAAATTAATAACTAAATGAATCAAAAAATAATTGAAGTCCGGGAAAAACACCCGAACTGATGCAATTACATCGATTGGAATCGATTACCTGAAATCA